ATATCATCATACTTTAATTTGGATTTTCCAGCTGAGTTGCTTACGGCTGTTCTCATACCTTCTCAACTGCTTGGAAGTGAAGCTAGCAAAATGAGTGCATGAATCTCATCATTAAACTCAATCTTAACAGATGATAATTGATTTGTGATGGTATTAAAGTTATTGAGAAGCTGTGTAACAAAGATGCTTTTCGTCATTTTCAGGTTGAACAACTTTTTCATCAAGTGCACTTTATTATTTGCCAAGGGCTTCTCATACATCCTAGACAAGGCTTTCATTAATCTTGTAGTGGATTTTTCTTTTATAACATTGTGAGCAACTCTTCTCAATAAGGATAGCTTGATAATACTGAAAACTTGTATATTAAGAATTAGCCAATCTTCTTCTTGCATATTCTCTGGTTTGCTCCCTAACAAAGGAAGATGAAGCTTCTTCCTATATAGATAGTCTTTGATTTGTATTTTTCAATATCCAAAATCTATCCCATTAAATTTTTCAATTCCAATAGCTTTTATTTCATCTACCATTTTCACTAACTTTAGAGTTAGAATTTGCTGAATTGGGCTTTATAGTTATGTTTGGAAACATTAGAAACGACACTAAAATCACCTAAATCAGAATTTGGATGGCTCAGATCTTATCAATCAAACTTTTAGATCACTGAATGGTGCAGATGAAGTCGAGTGTCAACTGAAATAATGTCTACAACACACCAGATCAAAACTCAATATAATGGCGTGGGTATGATGACGTGTCAGACACATAAGCAATATGGGCCTACAACCGATGATGAAAATAGATAAAAACACAGAGAGAGCTTAGAGTGAGAGATGAGTTGAGTAGAGAAGTTTTTTCTCCTCCTCGTTTTGTTGTTTGTATTGCTTTCGAGCTTGATTAATACAAACCAGTAGCTCCGTGGAGTAGGCAAGTCGCTGAACCACGTAAATTGATGTGTTTGAAAGCTTGAATATCCTAACAACTGATATCAGAGTTTGTTCTTGAAAAAGAGGGTGTTTGATCCAAACTCAAAAATCAAAGTTCTCAAAACATGTTTTTGAACATACCATCGTGAAGAGGAAGACGAGAGGAATCCACTGGTGAAAACCCGGCGAAAATCCAACGTCCTGCATGCCTGCACGCGCCACCACCAGCACTACCCACGCACCTCACGCACGTCACGTCTTTCTCGTCCGTTTCCTGCAATCCACGTCAGCATCCTGAGTTTTGATCCAGTGTGACGCAACGACTATTCCTCTTGACACGTGGCTTCATCTGCAGTGTCCAGTGATCCCAAAGTTTGATTGTTTAAATCTGAGCCATCCAAAGTCCGATTTGGGTGATCTCAATGTCGTTTCCAATATTTTTGGCCATTCCGGACACATCTGTAAGGTCAGATTTTGCAAATTCGAATCCGAGAAAGATTAAAAATGGCTGATGAAATAAAGGCTGCGGGAATTGAAAAATTTGATGGAACTGATTTTGGATATT